TCTCCGCGAGCCCCGGGTCGCGGGGACTCGGCTCCGGCCGCCGCGTCCGAGTCGGACCATTCCTCCACCGGCTGCGCCCCATGCTCAGCTCCGCCTTCGGCCAGGTAAGGGCCGCGCTCCCGCCCGCGCTCCCAGGAAAGGCGCTCGGGGACCCTACCGCCGCCGCGCGTCCACCGGGCCCCCGGGTCACGCCTCCGCTTACCCGGTGCTTCCTGGCCCGTCGCCCTTGTGGGCGCCGCTCGGCTGCCGTGCCTGATTCAGCACCCTGTGCGCTGTCCACGCTCCGCTCCGGCCTCTCGCCGCAAGGCACCGCCGCCCAGCTGCTCTCACACCTGCGGAAACGGCCTGCCCTGGTAGGGAGCGACCTCCACAACTCTTCTGGGGATTTGCCGGTGGTCAGAGGGGTGTCGGAGCAGGTGGCGCCAAACCCACTCCCCTTAGCCGATTCCTCCAGGGAGCAGCCCAAGAGGGCAAACCATAAGTGTGGAGTCTGGAGGTCAAGAGAGGGAACCTTAGGGCACACAGACTTACTGGGGGATGAGGGACCCTAGCCTTTGCCTACATTATCTCCAAAGGCCTGGGAAAAGTTAGCAGATTAAACATTTGAGGAAAGAGAAAGGGTGTTGGATAGGCACGGAGGGGCTCTCCAGAGCTCTGGATCAGACTGGAACTTCCGGATGTTTCAAGGAGGTTGTCACCCCAAGGATGCCATTGGGATGGCAGCTGGCAGTGGCCAAGTCGTAGGATGTGGAACAACCCTCGGAGAACTCTAGCCTGAGTTGGAGTGCATTCTGGGGCCAGAAAGGCCACCAAGCGGTCACCAGCGGCTCCCAGGTAGCTGGGATCTGCCCTTGAAAGGCAGCCGTGTAATCGCAACCTGGGTCTACAGCTGGGGGAGAGGAGCCTGCGAACTCGTGAGCATGGCCAGGGTTTCCTCAAGTCAGAGTCGCGGGCACGGCCTGGAGTCCATCCTGCGGCAGGCAGCCCGGGAGCGTGAACCGCAGAGGTCTGACCAGGTGTCGGCGTGGTTTGTTGTGGAAGATGTCGGGATCTGGCATAAAGAAGCTGTCTCAGGCTCCTGGCTTGCCACCCTGAATCAGAATCCTAAGGAGGCCGTATGTGTTTGGCTTCAGATCTGCACTTTTCTTTTCAAAAAAACCTGCACTGCACTGGCTGATGCTGGCGGTGGTCTGACATGAAGGCAGCCGCACATGGATTCGGGTTGCGTGGGGCTGCTGTGTAGTGTGAGAGGGCAGTGTGTGTGGCTTTGTTCCTGCAGGGAGCCCTCGTTAGCTGAGTGAGCTGGAAACAGTTCTCCCGGAGTAGAGATTTGGATGCAGAGCTGTGAGAGTGCGGCAATGCTGAGAGGAAGTTCACTGTAGTGCGTGTTAGCGAGGTGTAGCGTGTCAGGGCAGGAGGGGTCTGTGGCCGGGGGCTGGGGTGCAACAGGAATGCTCTGTTGTTGGATGGGTGACAGCAGTTCGTCTGTTTATCGGATGTTTCTTGAGCACCTGTTTTGCCCAGGCGTTTGCTGCATAGTAGAGACACATCAATGAACAGGTCGGCAGAGTTCTGACTCTTTCAGAGCCTGCAGTCTGGCAGTTTGGAAGTCCCTGGCCCACAGTCACACGCTTTTCTGGTTCTTCAGCTTGCGGGGGATCTGACTTGGCTCCCGGTGGCAGAGCCCTTTCTTTCCCGTCTTGCAGAATTTGCCTGCACGGACGCCGTCTCAGCTCAGAGCATTTCAGCAATATGCTGTTGTTCCTCCTCTCACTTAGTCATGGGATGAAGGCTGTTCTGCAGCCCAGTGTTCTGAAATGTCACCAGGGTCACCTGAGTCAGGAGGAACTGGAAGGTCCCATCAAATATTTACTACCTCCCCCTGCAAGCTCTTGCCTCCAGAGCTGCAGGCTGCTGCTTCCAAGCCCTGCACATTCAGTTTGGGCTTCCTGCTGACACTTCCAAGGCATCTGCTTCAACAGCAACAACAAGCCCAGGCTGGGACATGTGCGTCAGTCTCTGGCTCCTAGGACAGAGGAATTACTCTTTCCTTCTCTTCTCTCTGTCCCAAGATTTCTGTCCTTAGAAATGGAATTGAGACCAAGGAAGAAAAATGGGGTTCCGAATACAACAACTTCTGGATAGAATTTTCTTAGAGTAAAATATAGCTCTGGGAAAACATATGTGTGTATATATATTTCCCCACGGCTCTGTGTGGATATATATTTATACACACATGTACATATATACACATACATATAGATAGATGTATACACATACATAGGTATGCATTTTATACTGATAAGTACATATTTTAAATTTTAATTGATACATAATAATTGTACAGTATGACATTTTAATACTAGTATACAGGAAATATATTTTCCATGTCTCCTGAGTTCAGTTTTTTAAAATCTCAAATGAATTGCTTAACCTCATCAGATGTTTTGCTTTACATGTAATATAGGGATAGCCACAGTTTCTCAACCATATGTTTGGGAGATGAAAGGAGATGAAGAGATATGTGTCAAGCTTGGCCTAGGGCATGGCATAGAGCAAGGGCTCTGTCGGTGTTAGTTATTATTATTCTTGTTCTTGTTGTTGATTAGCCACCAGGGGCTGCTTCTTCCTGTTTGAAACATAGCCAGGGAGAGCCAGGGTTCTGAGTGGCACCGAAGGTACCAAGCTAGACTCCTAATTTAGGGGACACAGGTAATAAGACTCTCCCAGTGACCTCCTGGAGCCTCCTTACTGCCTGCAGGGTGTAAGCGCGGGTCTTAAGTTCAAGGCTTGAAGTGGTGGCTTGGAAGATAGCAGAGCTGCTGGTTCTGATCCCAGTTCTGCCACTGTCTATCTCTGTGACCTTGGGCGTGTTATCCTCTCTCTGTGATCTTCGTTTATTCATCCAAAAATGAGATTGACAAAACAAACAAGCAAACAAAAACCTTGCAGAGTTACTATGAGGCTCACACAAGATGAAGATTATCAACACACCTGTTTCATGGTGGGTGCTGGTTAAAGGGCAGCATTCATTAATGTTATTGTTATTGTTGCTATTAATAGAGCGATTGCCTAAATGAGGGCCTATGTAAGGTACTTTGAAAGCTACCTGTGAGCCAGCTGAGGAAGGTTATTAAAAAAGGGAGCGGGGCCGGCGCCGCGGCTCACTAGGCTAATCCTCCGCCTAGCGGCGCCGGCACACCGAGTTCTAGTCCCGGTCGGGGCGCTGGATTCTGTCCTGGTTGCCCCTCTTCCAGGCCAGCCCTCTGCTGTGGCCCGGGAGTGCAGTGGAGGATGGCCCAGGTGCTTGGGCCCTGCACCCCATGGGAGACCAGGAAAAGCACCTGGCTCCTGGCTCCTGCCATCGGATCAGCGCGGTGCGCCGGCCGCAGCGCGCCAACCGCGGCGGCCATTGGAGGGTGAACCAACGGCAAAAAAGGAAGACCTTTCTCTCTGTCTCTCTCTCTCTCACTGTCCACTCTGCCTGGTCTGAATTTAGAAAAGAAAAAAAAAAAAAAAAAGGGAGCGGACCACTTCTGATCCAGCTCCCTGCTAATGCACCTGAGAAAGCAACAGAAGATAACACAAGGACTTGGGCCCCTGTACCCATGTGGGAGACCTGGATGAAGCTCTTGGCTTCTGGCTTTGGGCTGGCTTAGCCCTGGCTATTGCAGCCATTTGAGAAATGAATCAGTGAATAAAAATCTCTCTCTTGTCCCTCCCTCTCCATCTCTGCCTTTCAAATAAATAAATCTTTAAAAAGAAGAAGGAGAAGGAGGAAGAGGAGGAGAAAGGAGCTGACTGTCAAAGGACCTTCCCTTGTCCCCTCTTAGTAAACAGCTAAGGACATGCCACCTAGCTGCCTAGAGAGGAAATGTGTTGTCAGAAATTAACTCAGAAATGACCTGAGGCTTTGAGTTTTGGAAGACTGTTTTATGAACGGGCTTTCCTCTTCCTGCCCTAACGTTGAGGAGAAATAGCCCTTGTAAAGGATGCGAATGCAGATAAAACCCACAGCTCTGTCTCATCTTCCCACATTCCCAGCTCTAGGGGCATCTCGTGTGTCTCTTTGGATTTGGATAGACTGGCCTGGTTCCCATACTGCTTTGTGCGTAGTAGAATCATGGTATTTTATTTTTATTTATTTGAAAAGCAGAGAGACACAGAGAAATAGACAGTCAGAGATCTCCCATCCACTGGTTCACTCCCCAGATGCCTGCAACAGCCCAGGGTAGGACAGGCAGAAGCCTGGAGCTTGGAGCTCAAACTGGAACACTCAGTTGGGTGGCAGGGACCCAAGTCCTTGAGCTATCATCTACTGCCCCCTCCCAGGGTGTGCATTAGCAGGAAGCTGGAATCAGAAGCAGAGCTGGGAATCGAACCCAGACACTTCTGGTATAGAATGAGATGTCCCAAGCAGTGTCTTGGTGGCTATGCCAGATGTGCACTCCAGATCACAATATTTAATGAGGGAATGAATGAATGTTGTTACCAGCTTCTGGACCTCAGGGGTTTGTTAGTTGCTATGGCTTAGTTGAGGAGAGAGAAACCGTGATGGTTCGAGTCCTAATGGATTCAGTCGCACGAGGCCTGTGTTCCTAGCATGAGGTCTCTGTGTATTCCTCACTCCTGCCCACATCCCTCTGAGAGGACACGGAGGAGTCTCCGCTGCCTTCCCTCTGGGGCCTGGGTGTGGCTTGCTGTCAGCTGTGGGAGAGCACTTCTGGCTGTCTACATTTGCCTCCAGCTGTCTCAGCATTCTGCACCTGTCCAGAGTCCACTACACCACTGAGGAAGCAGTGTCTTCTCATTATTTTATCTTCACAGCAACCTGTGAAAATTGGCATTATCGGCCCCTATTTCAGAGATGAAGAAACAGGCCCAAGAGAGGGGAAGTGACTTGTCCAAAGGTCACACGATAAGTAAATGGCAGGGCTGTGCAAGGGAGCTGAGGTCTGTTTATCTCCAAACTACACCTGCCTCTGTGCCTCACGCTGGTCCCTGGTCCAGCGGGAAGCCGCATATGCACGTCATTCCCTATTGTCTAAAGTGTCTCATGTTACGACCCAGCCTCCCCAAGTACCTTAGCACTGGGCTGTCATCCAAGTTCAGATGCCTGCGGTAGACCTGCTCAGAACGGAAGGTGAGCCTACCGCTAATCAGGAATAATCAGCAATGGGCTTATCCTTCTCATCCCTCTGATCCTATTATTCCGTTCCAGAACTCGAATTGTGGCTTCCAGAGACTGGAGGAGATAAGGAAAGGGGTAGGGCCATGTGATGGTTCACTCCTTAGAGGAGTCCCCTACCGTTTGCCCTTCTTACATGTCCTACTGAAGGTCGGGCCAACTGCTCCATGCCCACCTGCCCAGCTCAAGATAAAGTGAGCCCTAAAGCAGCAGATATAAACCCTTGGATCTCTCACTTCCCTTAAGTCTTAGGCCAGTGTCAGCCCCTTACCCCACCACTACCCCAAAGCAGGGTGGGATTTTGGTTTTTCTGGCCCCTGTCTCCTGTTTTCAAAGACAGGCATATGTATCTCAAGGTCAGCAAGTGGGTGCTGTGCCCTGAGCTGGCCTGCAGGGGGCAGGAGTTACCAGGTCTGACTCCATGCCCTCCTGAATGAATGGTTGCCGCAACTGACCCTTTGAGATCAGTGCTACGGGGTGGGCTTTGTGGTGAAGTGGGTTAAGCGCCTGCATCCCATGTCGGAGTGCCAGTTTGAGTCCTGGTTATTCCACTTCTGACCCATCTTCCTGCTAATGAATCCTGGGAGGCAGCAGATGAGGGTGGAAGTGCTGGGGCTGCTGCCACCCACATGGGAGACCTGGATGGAGCTCCTGCTGCTGACTTTGGCCTGGGCCAACCCTGGCTATTGCAGGCATTTGGGGAGTGAATCCGTGGATGGATATCTTTCCCTCAACCTCTCCTCCCCCCATTGCTCTGCCTTTCAAGTAGATGAAAATGAATAAACATTTAAAGCCTGTGCTGGGCAAGAGAAAGGGGCACTTAAAAAAAAAGATTTATTTATTTATTTGAACACAGAGAGGCATAGAGAGAGAGAGAGAGAGAGAAGAGAGAGAGGTCTTCCATCTGCTGGTTCACTCCCCAGATGGCTGCAATGGCCAGAGCTGCGCCGATCTGAAGCCAGGAGTCAGGAACTTCTTCCAGGTTTCCCACGTGAGTGCAGGTGCCCAAGCACTTGGGCCATCTTTCACTGCTTTCCCAGGCCATAGCAGGGAGCTGGATCAGAAATGGAGCAGCTGGGACTCAAACCAGTGCCCATATGGGATGCTGGCACTGCAGGTGGCAGCTTTACCCACTATGCCACAGTGCCAGCCCCCAGGGGGCACTTTTTAGGTGCCTGGCAGTACGCCAGGCCTTTTCAGGCCTCATCTCATGAAATTCTCCTGAGAGCCCTAGGGAAACTGCTATTAGAATCCTCATTTCATAATGGATGAAACTGAAGCTCAGAAGGATCAACCAGTCCTCAAGTTCACATGGTTACCAAGCTGCAGGGCAAGATTTGAAACTGAGTTACTCGGACTGCATGCCAAGTGCTGAAGCCCTGTGGCTCTCAACAATGGCTGCAGGTTAGAATTCCCTGGGAGGTGTTAAGCAACACCTAAACTTAGGAAATCAGAATTTCGGGGAAGCTCTCCTGGTCTACAACCAGCATTGAGAACTTCTGCCTATTTAGTTCGTTTGTAATCGGGTTTGTGCCTGGCACCTACCCCTCTGGGGTCCCTGGTGGGCCCCATTTTTCCAGACGAGTCCGCAGATGGTCCATTTTCTATATTTTGCCTGCAAGTCTTTCTCGATCCCCCCCAGAGTAAATCAAACCCTGTCTCACATTCTCAGAGTTCATGTGTCTCTTGTTTCTCCCATTTATCTGAAATGTTGTTAAGTAATTGTGTTCCTTGCTCTTACCTCTTGCCTGCCTGCTAGAGCATTGGCCACCACTCTGCCCGGAAGCAGGGCCGTGTTTATTTTGTTCCAGAGCACAGTAAACATTAAACAGTGAGCGTCGGACAGATGAGACTTCTTTCTTCCATGTGAATAATTACTCACGGAGTCCGTATTACATGCCACACATTTTCCGACATATACTTATAAGTCAGATAGGGAAAGCCCCATCTCCCAGCGGAGGAAACCCAAGCTCAGGAATGGGAGGCAGTCACATTGTCAGAGCCAGCAGAGCCCGGGCCTAACCCCAGGCCTCCCCGCCCCTCCCATTCATCGCAGTCAATTGAATCTGACCCCTGGCCCAGACCCGCGGAGTGCTTCCTTGTTGCCCTGTTTCCAAGCTGTGTTCTTTGAAGAAGCCATTTATGTTGGCTGCTGGCTCTTTCTGGTTCAGTGCCCTGGCTTCTTCACCCTCTTTCCTGCCCTTTAGGCATCAACACCCCACCCCCTGGCTCCTCTCTTTCCCAGGGGTGCGGCCCCTCCTTACCCATCTCCTCTAGAATTTTGGCGCAAACAAGGCTGCTGGGTGACTCCCCTGATTAACCCATTCCACGACGAGCAGCGGCTGCTCCACAGTCACCTGTCTTCACTGGGCGCAGAAACTGGACAAAAGCCCTGGGGAGAGGAGTCTGTTGCTGCATCAGGGCCCTGGGAGGAGTCCAGCTTCCCGGTCTATCTCTGGTGCCCCCTGCTGGGCAAAGCTGGTGTGTGGAAACAGGGCCGCTTGGAGTTTCTGGCTTGGGCTCAACTGGAATACCCCAGGCTTCAAGGTGAGAACTTGCAGGGAAAAGCAACAGCCAATCACCAGATGCGTTCTGGCCCAGAGACCTTAAGGAGGGCTTTGTACAGGGCTGCTCCCCTTCTTGGCATCTCAAGGAAGCTGGGAATGAATGCTCGCTCAGCGTCAGGTGGCAGAGGTTTGGAGACCTTGCTTTGGCCCCCTGCACCAGCGCGCTGCCTCCATCATGCCTGCCTCAGGATCATCTCTTGTTTCCCTTGGGGTGGAGAGATTGCACACTGCGCAGAAGACAGCTGTGCGCAAGCCCCGGAGACTCATCCCATTTTAATGGCAAGGCAAGTGTGACAAACGGAGCATGATAGAGTCGTCCACACAAGACCTGCTAGGCGCTCAACTGGAGCTGTCTGCTCTGGTTGCAGCTGGGATTGCCAGGGGGCGGTGAGGATCCGTGCTAGTCCCAAGGACTGCTCTCCATAAGTGGCATTCGTTTCCCTGGGGTCTCATCTGTGCATGCATATGTCTGTGCCTGCCTGTGTGTGTGTGTGTGTGTGTGTGTGTGTATGCATGTGTGCACATACACAAGGCTGCAGACTGTGAGGCACCCTGGCTTTGGGGACCCAAACTAGCCAGCTTCCCCTTCTGGGTCTGTTGGCCTAATTCCCAGCCGCAGCTGCCGCTCCGGTCCCCTCCCTGAGGCAATCGCCCTGCAGATTTGGCAGCAGCAAAAGGAGGGGCTGAGGGAAGGGGAGAGAAGCAGAGAGGACTCAGCTCTAATCTGATGGAGATGATCCGCCAGGCTCCTCCAGCTCAGCCGCCCTCTGCCATCAGCTCTCCGGGCGATTTTCTCTGTGCCCGGCACTCTCCCCTGCTGCCTTCATCTCCTTAAGAAAGTGCCCCGAAAGTTAAACCTAGACACACAAACACACTCACAATCCACCAAAAGGAAAAAAAAAAATCAGAAAGCAAGAGCAGGCAGACGAGTAAGAGAGCACGCGCGCAAGAGAGGGCTCTGCTTGGTCCTGGAGGAAGAGCGGCAGAGGAAGGCAGAGGGAGGCTGGGGTTGGCCGTGACCGGCGCTACGGTCTCCCAGCCCCCCAAGCAGCCTCCTTCATGGACCCCGGGATCCTGAGAGGGGCTGCCTCAGCTTAGGATGGGCAACTGTGTCAAGTCTCCACTGAGAAATCTCTCCAGGAAGGTATGTGCCTGAAGTCTCCGAGATGTGGGGCTGGGAATCGGGCTGTGCTGCCACCTGTCCCAGAGGCTGGGCATGGAAGGAGAGGCACCCCTTCCCGTGGGTCCTCTCTCAGGCTTTGCTGCTGCCTCCAGAGACGTTCCTTTCACAGTCCTGTGCGTCCCAGGCTCTGAGCAAGGACTTAGAGCTGCCTGGGGGCAAGGCGGCTATGTTTGAGAATTAGCACAAGATTTAGCAAAGAAACTAGGTAGCTCTGGGGCTTTGGGGCCATAAAATGAAAAATGCGGTTCCTTAGATTTCAGGGGCAGAGTCGCTTAGAAGTTCCTTTCCGGCGGCTGGACCGTTCGCGTCCTTTGAGCATCTGTGACCCTCTCTGGCTGGCTCTGCGCCTTCAGAATTGTGGGTGATGCCCCATCACTACTGAAAGGAGTCAAGCAGGGCACCCCTTCTGCGCAGTGGTCTGGAACCAGGTCAGAGGCTCTCAGGTTGGACCAGACTGTTTCAGAGCCCCTTGAGAAACAAGATGCCCAAGAAGTAGCTGGGCAGAGGTGTGTGCAAGCTTTCTGAAGGGGCTTTGTTGCTTACACACAGGGATAATATTCTTCTGCAAGAAGTCCTTTTCAAAAGCAAATGAGTACCTTTAAAGGGTCTTTTGTGCAGGTCTGGGCTCGCATCTCCAGGGTTTTGCTTCTGGCCGGTTCTGCCTGGTCCTCTGTAGTCAGGCCCTGGTCGCAGTTCATATCATTTGAAGGAAGGAGGAGTGCTAAGGATGTTCTCCAGTTCCTCCAGTTTCCAGACACGGAGGCTGAGTGCCACTCAGCTGGGTTGAGTGACTCACTTGCCGTCTCAGCTTGCTAACAGCGCCTCTGCCCTCAGCCCCGTCCTACCTCCTCTGTCAGATCCACAGCCTCTTGATTTGGGACGCCTGGGGCTTTTCTGCTTGTCGTCTTCGTCTTCCTCGTTTGGCTAAGCTGCTCACATCAAATCCCTGCTAATCTTCTCTGTTCCTTGGATCCCTGCAAGGGCTGATTGATTCCCCTGTGCACCTCCCACCTCCATAATCACCATCTTCGTAGAGGTGTCTTCTCCACCAGAGGTGGCCTCTGCAGAGACTGAACTGAATGAGGAGAGGACCACGGGGCAGAAGAGACCTTCGCCTGGGCTCTGTCCAGAACCTAAAGAGCTGAACTTCGGAACAGGAATTGTCCTTTCATACCTTGCCTGTCTTCCCTCACCAGAGCGCGACTCAGGTCTCCTCTTCCCAGCTGTGTGATCTCAGGCAGATTACTTAACCTCTCTGTGCCCTGGTCCCCCTGTCCATCAAGTTGGAGGTACTGATGTCCTCGTCTGAAGGTGATGGGGAGAACTAAATAAAGTGCTGTGCACAGTGCCTGACATACCATACGCCATAGATATTCGTGTCATGGTCAATTCTCCTAATTCATCCACTCTGGATTTTAGAGAAGAGGGAGGGAAGAGGAAAGGAAATAGAGGTTTGAGTCCACGGAGTGAGGTAAAAACTCAAAAAAGGTATTGCAATTCAATGCCACGTTTTTATCTTGGTAGTAGTAATTGTTTTTTACTGAATACGGCGCTCTCTCATTTGCTCTCTGTTTGAAAGAGAAAGGAAGAGGACTCAGAGACAAGAGCCCCCTAAGGTAGCACAGCCGTGATATTTCCAGTAGGTACTGTTAGAGTCCCGTTCCGTTTTCTAGAATCTTCTTCCAGCATCCATGGGGCTTTGTCGATGGTCCCTCGCACAGCGTGAGTCATGGAAGGAGATGGCATTAGGGACACTGGTGAGGACTTAGAGCATCCAGAAGAGTAGGGGACACTGGGCCCTGCACCAGCCCAGGACTGAGACCCTGTTCCGTGTGAAATCAGAGCTGGGCTTGTGTTTTTATTTTTTCCTCTCCAAGAGGCAGCCTCTCCCTTTCTCCTGCTGTCAGTAGCATTATTCATGGATCCCTGAATCTGACCTCAGAGGTCACTGAAACCAAATTCCCACTCCAGGCTGCCATATCTCCCACCCCATTCATTCGTCTTCCCCTGGGATCTCTTCGGTGGGAGGGAGCCGGGCCCTGCGTGCTCTTGGCCAGGCTGGCGTTGTTAGAAAGCGTAGGTCACGAGGCTCGCTGGCCCTTCCTGCTGCCACGCCACCCTCAGGAGGCGGCCCTCGGTGCCAGGAGACGTTGTCAGCCTGTGGGCCGCTGCCCGCTTGGCTTCCCGAGTGATAGCAGGGGAACTGGAAATGGTGCGAGGCAGCTCCAGGTCCTCAGCGGGACAGAACCGGCTGTCAGGTGCCATCGCTGGCCAGAAACGAACGGCAGCCTCCAGGGCCAACTGGTGCCAGGCCCTGTTATGATCAACAGAGGCAGTGGAAATTCCCCAGCCGCCGCTGCTGCTTTCCTCCACGCCAGCCAGGTTCCTCTCCTTCCTTCTCATCTCCTTTCTTATTGGCAGATGCTCCCCCTCTTCCCCTGGAGCCAGAAGTAAATGGCATCGAGCATCCCTTAAGTAACCTCATCATCGTCGTCATCATCATCTTCATCATCATCATCATCATCGTTGTCAGCATTGTGGCAACTTCATTTATTCAGCTCTTACCACGCACTATGCAAAGCACTTCGCGTGCAGTAGCTCACTGATTGCTCCCAAGGATCCTGAAAGGAGACACGATTTCCCCCATTGCACACGGAAGGAATCTGGAACACAGGCAGGTGGTGCGACTGGGGTCACACAGCAAGCAAGTGGCAGAGCCAGAATCTGTCCTCGAGGCCCTTTGAGTCCAAAACCAGCATCTGAAACCATCTCTCATAGCCTGTGCCGCCTGTTGCCTCCTCCTGCCTGGGCTGTGCTCAGTGGGAGCCAAGCCCGTGTGATTTGACCAGAAACAAAAAGGCTGATTCTCTCCCAACATCTCCTGAGAGTCTTGCCTTCAGATAGGGCTCCGCCTGCTCCAGGGCTCCCTCTGATCTGCCCCTCCCAGGCAGGAAGGTTTCTCCTGACCCCGGGGCTGGAAGTCTGAGGGTGCAGGTGAGGCTTTGAAACTTACCTGTTTGGGGTATCGAGCCAGAAGAGGCCCTTGATCTGTCTGACGTCCCCCAAGCTTTGAGATGACCTAGAACTGACCCTCAGTGCTCCCACCGGACTCGAGCCTCGGGCTGGCTTCCTTGGCCTCAGCTCTGAATCGCTGCTTCCCTTCTGGGAGCCTCAAACCTTCTGCTCCCTGCTAAGCCTGGAAGGTGCTCAGGAGGCGGCAAAGCGGTCTCCCCTGTAGCTCCGGTGTGGGGCCTTGAGGACCAGAGGCACAAAGGGACAAGGGGGTGCGGATGGGGTGGTTGGGCTTCCAGCCTGGCAGGAGGCGCTGCTTCTCAATCTTGAGATCTGCTCCTGGGTGTGGACTTCTTTCATCTCGGGACCTGGCAGGAAGTGGAGTGAGTGGGCTGGAGGGTCGGGGTACGGAGCTCTGGGATTCTCAGGTGAACTCCGCTGCAGATCCCCACATGGGGGGAGGCTCCCAGCTCAGGCCTGAGAACTCATGGCCTGGCTCCAGTTCTGGAGAGGTACCGGGCACGTTGGGAGGCGGGGGTCAACTTGAGTGTTGTGTCTGGAGGCTGCTGTTGTCCTAAGGGGAAGGTCTGTGGGCAGGGCTCACTTTTTATAGCTGCGTGGGAACCTACAGGGAGAAGGAGTGGTTGGCTTGGGCCAGGGAGCACAGCTATATTCGGTTAGCAGGGAAGGCCCCTGACAGCCTCAAGGGGGTCCAGCAGGCCAGGCCAGGCAGGGAGCCAGGGAAGGCGGGAGGGAAGAAAAGGAAAACTTCTCAAAGGCAGAGTGTGTCTAGTCTTGAGGTTGCAAACAGGGTGGGCTCCAAACCACAAGATGAGTCTTGTTCGGCCCACCTGTGCTTCAGATCAGATCCTGAGACCCTGGGCTGGAGTTACGTAGTACAGCCCTTCAAGGGGGCACACAATCCCCATTTTGCCTGCTTTGTGCACGTCAACCATGGCACCTGCCTTTGCAGCCTGCAGTGAGTGCCAGCTCTGATTTCCAGCCAGGATCCAAGGTGGGGGGGAGGGTGAGGGTCAGAGTCCCCTTGGGAGCTGAAAAGCCTGACTACCCCAGGGATTGAGCAGGGATGTGGGGAGCATTTTGGAACAAGAGGCTGTGAGTGAGCACTTCCCATCGGTTTTTAGAGTAGAAGCCTCCCTCCCCTGTTTGCTTCTGTTTCTGTGTCAGTGTGTGTGGTGTGTGTGTGCTCCCAATCAAGGATTGGACACTCCGTCTGCTGGACCAATTGGATACCTGGCCCTGTGCATCCTGAGGCCTCTCTGAACCTCGCTGGTTGATGCCCAAGCAACTTCTCTTGAAAAGAGCCCATTCTCGAACCTGGATCTAGGCCAGGGCAAGGAGGGGCCTGTCAGCCAGGTGACGCCCTACCTCTCTTTTGTATTTGCTCGGTGCTGGCTGAAGATGCGCCAGGAAGAGAAGAGCAGCTACATGGTGGTGCAGACGAGCGAGGAGGGGCTGGCAGCCAGTGGCGAGCTCCCAGGACCACTCTTGATGCTGGCCCAGAACTGCGCGGTCATGCACAACCTGCTGGGCCCTGCCTGCATTTTCCTGCGCAAGGGCTTCGCTGAGAACAGGCAGCCTGTACGTAAGTTGGCCCAGTGGAGCCTGCTGAACTTGGCTTCACCGGGCAGGAGGAGGTGCTGGGAAGAAAAAGGGGTTCTATAGATAGCAGCCCCCAGTAGACATGCCTCAAACCCCCAACTTGTGGATCTGGTCTCTCCCACATTTCCCACTCCATGGCTGCAAAGCATGGTAAGTCCACACCCATCAGCAAGCAATAATAATAGGTACATTTTTGTTGAGCACTTACTGTGTCCCAGGCACTGGGCGAAGCGTGTTGATGGATTGCCTCACTTAAGCCCCAGAGCAAGCCGAAGAGGTAGGTACTTATCATCCCCATTTTACAGGGCAGGAGTGGAGTTGGAGGAAGGCTCACAGGCCCGGGTAACACCCAGCACAGGGCAGGGGTAGGGTACAATCTGATTCAGGGGCCTCCTGTGCTCTGTAACAACTGTGGGTACACAGCACTGTCTGGTAGAACTTTCTACACTGATGGAAATATTCTGGAATCTGTGCTGTCCTGTACAGTGGCCATGAGCCACATGTACAATACAAGTAGTATTGACTACTTGAAAGGTGGCTGGTGCAACTAGGGAAGTGAATAGCAGTTTTATTTCATTCTGTTTCAAATTTAAATTGCCACAGGGAGGTGGGTAATAATGATGACATCACAGACACGAACACTTGTAGGTTCAATTTATTGAATGTCACGTGTTTTTATTTATTTATTTATTTTTTTGACAGGCAGAGTGGATAGTGAGAGAGAGAGAGACAGAGAGAAAGGTCTTCCTTTTGCCGTTGGTTCACCCTCCAATGGCCGCTGCAGCCAGCACGCTGCGGCCGGCGCACCGCGCTGATCCGATGGCAGGAGCCAGGTGCTTCTCCTGGTCTCCTATGGGGTGCAGGGCCCAAGCACTTGCATTCCCGGGCCACAGCAGAGAGCTGGCCTGGAAGAGGGGCAACCGGGACAGAATCCGGCACCCCGACCGGGACTAGAACCCGGTGTGCTGGCGCCGCAAGGCGGAGGATTAGCCTGTTGAGCCGCGGCGCCGGCTCGAATGTCACGTGTTAACAATACATACTTTGTTTCATGAGACGCACAGAGGCCCTGTGAAGTGGGTACTGATGTTAACCCATTTTATTTTTTATTTTAAAAAGATTTTTTTTTTGACAGGCAAAGTTAATGAGAGAGAGAGAGAGAGACAGAGAAAGGTCTTCCTTCTTCTGTTGGTTCACCCCCAAGTGGCCACTACGGCTGGTGCGTTGCGGCCAGCGCGCTGTGCTGATCTGAAGCCAGGAGCCAGGTGCTTCCTCCTGGTCTCCCATGCGGGTGCAGGGCCCAAAGACCTGAACCATCCTCCACTGCCCTCCCTGGCCACAGCAGAGAGCTGGACTGGAAGAGGAGCAACCGGGACAGAATCCGGCGCCCCAACCGGGACTAGAACCCCGGGTGCTGGTGCCGCAGGTGGAGGATTAGCCTAGTGAGCCACGGCGCCAGCCTAAAAAGATTTATTTATTTATTTGAAAGTCAGAGTTACACAGAAAGAGAGAAGGAGAGGCAGAGAGAGAGAGAGAGAGAGAGAGAGAGGTCTTCCATCCGCTGGTTCACTCTCCAACTGGCCACAATGAACGGAGCTGCACCGATCCAAAGCCAGGCGCTAGGAGCTTCCTCTGGGTCTTCCTATGCGGGTGCAGGGGCTCAAGGACTTGGGCCATCTCCTACTGCTTTCCCAGACCATAGCAGAGAGCTGGATGGGAAGTAGAGCAGCTGGGACTCAAACCGGCGCCCTTATGGGATGCCAGCACTGCAGGCAGTGGCCTTACCTGCTACTCCACAACGCCGGCCCCAACCCATTTTATGGATCAGGAGATTGTGGATCAGAAAACAGAAGTGACTTGCCCAATGTCTCACATCTAGGAAGTGGCAGATCTGGGCTCTCTCTGGCTGTAGGGCCCAAGCCGTTTTCCCAACCACCTGATTTGAGGAGAAAGGAATAGGTTCCATTGCCACGAGACCTCCTGAGTTGGTACACACAGCTGCCCCGTCCCCTTAATGACCACCCTGATTGTCCTCCAGTGCCTGGCACACATAGCCTACTGCTCTGTGGAAGGAAGGTTGTGACCCAGGGACCAGCAAGGGCTCAGCAGCCGGCTCTTCCACAGGTGCGCTGTGAAGAGTTCTGGCTTTGCTGCTCCTTGGACTCTTGAGTATCCAAGCAAGAGCAGGGGGGTGGGTAGAGGCATGGTGGGGGTGAGTAGTGCTCATCCCTTCTCAGTCCTGCAGGACTGGGTCCTGGAGAAGGGGCAGGCACTTGAAGCCTGATGGGTGGGGGAGGGCTTGTTATGGCTAAGTAGTAGCTGGGCCTAGTGAGTGTACTTGGTGCAGAGGTGCACCCTCGTATGCACTGAGCCCTCCCCAGCCACAGCTGCCCCATCTGCAGATACAGCCAACTGCAGACCCAAAATATCTGAAAAAGCATTGCATCTGTACTGAACACACACAGACTTTTTCCTTGCTGTTATGTGATGCAAGTCATTGCACAGCATTTACATTGTATTAGGGATTACAAATACTCTAGAGGTGATTTAAGGTATGTGGGAGGATGAGCATTCTGTAAGGGGCTTGAGCATCCGTGGATGTTGTAATCATGGGGGTCCTGGAACTGATCCCCCATGGATACCAAGGGACCGATGTGTTCACGTACTTGCTTTCCCTTACTGGAGGAAAGATGTTGCAAACAAAGTCCTTTTCGGTCCCCCAAGAACATCTAGGATCACAGTGTTCTGCCTTGGAAAGGTAGAGACAGATCCTGGCACCCATGCGCTGATGAGCTTCCTTTTTTTTTTATTTATTAATTTTATTGCATTGAGAGGTCAATACTCACACACATAACACAGAAAAGAAGACATCTGGAATACCCTGGCACTCCCCCAAATGCCCGCAGCAGCCAGGACCAGGCCAGGCTGACGCCATGAGCCAGGAATTCCCTGTGGGTCTCTCATGTGAGTGACAGGAATCCAACCACCTGAACCATTGCTGGCTGCGTCCTAGCCTGTGCATTAGCAGGAAGCCGGAATCAGGATTTGAACCTGTGCACTCCAATACGGGGTGTGATGGCGTCTTCATTGCTGCACCCAGCACCTGCCTCTGATGAGCTTTCTGAGTGGAAGTCCACACACTCCTCTCAGAGAGACATGTATGCTGCTGAAAGACCAGCTGGAGGACCTGGGAGCCTGTGGCCTACGTGTTCCAAGGTCACACACACTCGGCACTGTCTGACCAAGTGTAGCCGCCTCTGAATTCTGGGTCCTGTGCTCCTGGTTGTCCCATAAGATGTTGCTCTGTAGTTCCTTCCCTTTCTGGACAACCTGCAGCTTTGTTGGTGCTGGTGTCCCTTGCCCAGGGGTGGTGTGTGTGGAGTGGGTGGGCAACTGCACGTGCCCCACTCTGGCCCTGTTGTCTGGGACAGCCGGTGTGCAGCGTGCACAGCCGAGATGCCTCACACTCACTGGGGCATGCCTGCTGTCTGTGATCATGATGGTGTGCCCGCACCTGCATGAGCCTCCTCAGGGCAGGCACACCCTGCCTCCTGGGCTCCCTGCCCAAAGGCCGAGAGCTGGAACACTGTGTCCAGCTTGGGAGTCTATGAACCAGGCTCAGGCGGGCACTGGATCTGTTCTGTGCCAGTCCGTCTCCTCCTGGGCAGGTCTGAGGTCATGGCACCTCACTAACTCTGACCTGCTCCCTGGAGACTCCACTGCCATCTGTTCTGACACCTGGACCCAGGCTTTCTCCATTCCCCAAGGAGACCTGGGCCCTGCTGGAGGCTGGAGATGTGTGCTTTGGACCTCGGCAGCAACCAGAGGCACGGTAGCCCCAGGGTCCTATGCCGACTGGGCAATGTGTAGGAATGGGGTCAAACTGGAGAAGATGGGATGGTACCCAGGAAGCGGGCTGGAGCCCCAGTTCTGCCTCAGAATCCCCAGGCTCCTCGCTCCACCGCTGCCTGTTTAATCCCTGCTTTCTTGTCCCCTCCAGCTCCTCCTCTCCATTGCCTTGCAGGCTTCTGCTACCCGCTCCGCCTGGCCTCAGCGGGTAACGCCCTCTTCCCTCTGTCGTGGCCTCCCCAACCCCATTTTATTCACAGGTTTTCGTGTCCAGATCAGCTCTGTTTCCCAGCCCATTCCAGTGTCTGGAAGGCCACAGGTTCTGTGTCCAGGCTGGGTGTGGCTGTTGGTTCCTTGGGCATCTCCTGTCAGGGGCCCCGGGGCTTCCATGTCTATGCGAGATGTGGGACTATGCCTTTTCCCCCTCGTGAACTTGATCCAGGCCACCTCTGCTGCATCCCGGCCCCCTCCCACCCAGAGCCTGCTGTCACTGGATGGCCCTCACAGGATGGGCATTTTGTGACTTGCAGGTCCTCCGCGGCTGCTAACAGGACATGTTCTCTTGTTTCCAGGACAGATCGCTGCGACCAGAGGAGATTGAAGGTAAAACCTGGCCCCTGGGAGAAAAGGGCTGCCCAGCCCTCCAGGAAGGCGTGGGAGGGAGGACGGTGGGAAGCGCAGCAGAGGTCCCGGTGGCCTCTGGGAGCAGGGCCTGGTTCAGAGCAGGGCAGCGCCGGTGATGCAGCCCTGGAGCAGAGAGCAGGAGGCAGCTCAGTGCCCAGCTCTGCAAGCTGCTGGGTCCCAGGGTGGCCTTTGCCTCAAAAGGCTGTACGGTTCCCTGCCCCAACCACATTGCCCTTGTCCGCTGCCCCAGAGCTCCGAGAGGCCTTCAGGGAATTCGACAAGGACAAGGACGGCTACATCAACTGCCGGGACCTGGGCAACTGCATGCGCACCATGGGCTATATGCCCACCGAGATGGAGCTCATCGAGCTGTCGCAGCAGATCAACATGAACCGTGAGTCCCTCTGCTGGGCTTGCCCTTCCCTTCGGGCCCTTGCCCTTGCAGTCCTGGGCACTCAGACAGGTCTGGGGTCCAATTCTGCACCCACCTCTTTCCAGCTCTGTGGCCTGCTGCAAACCACTTACCCTCTCTGAGCCCAAGTTTCTTCATCTGTACAGTGAGGGCTGCAATGGAAGTGGAGCACAGGAAGTCAGTGAGAGCGTATGTGTGAAACAGCCCGATGCTGGGCTCACCGTGGCACTGAACGGAGGGATGGTATTGGTCTGGGTTCCCACCAAGCGAGCTGAGATAAAGCACTGGGAGGGAGTAGGGACCTGAAGCTGGGGAGAGGAGGAGCCCAAGCAGGGTGGACTGCAAGCCAGCTGCCACTGTGGGTGCCAGAGTCCAGTGCTGCCAGGGATCTCAGGAAGCTGGTATAGAGATGCCCACCTCCAAATTAAGTCCCCCAGGCCCCACCTCTCTGGCTGGTATTTATCTAGTTTTTAGCTGTGACAAAGTACCCAAGGCTACTTATGAAGAAAAGAGGTTTCTTGTGGTTCACAGTTCTAGAGGTGCCAAGGCTCACATGCAGTGACGGCCTTCTCCAGGAGTTCTTTTTTGTTTATTTATTTATTTATTTATTTATTGATAGGCAGAGTTAGTGAGAGAGAGAGAGAGAGAGAGGCAGAGAGAAACGTCTTCCTTTTTCCATTGGTTCACCCCCAAAGTGGCCGCTATGGCTGGCGCATTGTGGCCATAGAACCCGGGGTGCTGGTGCTGCAGGCGGAGGATTAGCCTAGTGAGCCGCAGCGCCGGCCTTTTTTAAAAAATATTTATTTACTTATTTGAAAGTCAGAGATATGCAGAAAGAAAGAGAGAGAGAGAGAGAGAGGTCTTCCATCTGATGGTTCACTCCCCAGTTGGCTGCAATGTCTGGAGCTGCGCCGATCCAAAGCCATGAACCAGGAGCTTCTTCCAGGTCTCCCACATGGGTGCAGGGGCCCAAGGACTTGGGCCACCTTGTACTGCTTTCCCAGGCCATAGCAGAGAGATGGATTGGAAGTGGCACAGCTGGGACTAGAACCGGTGCCCATGTGGATGCCAGCACTTCAGGCCAGGGTGTTAACCTGCTGTGTCATAGCGCCGGCCCCTCTCCAGGAGTTCTTTGGTGGCAGAGGGTCACATGGCAAGAGACAGGATGTGCATGTGCATCTGTGTCTGGTCTCTCTCCAGACTCTGCTTAGAAAACCACCAGGATTCAATCATGGGGCCTATTCTAATGACCTTAGTAATCCTGATCGCTTCCCAGAGGCTCTACCTCTAAACCCCAGGGTCAGATTAAGTTTCCACCCTCTTAATACCTCACTGTGGGGATTGAATCCAAACACACAAAGCCTTGGGAAACCCTCAAACTCTGTCCGAATGTAGCGCACACACACCACTACCTCCTGGCACTTGCTGCTTGAAAGCCTAATGAGCAGGCAGGGGGTACCATTTCTGCAGCCCTCCCACCTCCTGAGAAAGCCACTTGGAAACTGAGCTTCCATTGGCAAAAGACAGATAAGGATTGGGGCATACGAGCCCAGCACCCATGACTCCTGCTTCTTTGCCTTTCTGTGAGGGTGTCTCTGTCTTCCTATCCTAGTGATTCTTTGTCCCTGGGACCCACCTGTGTCTACCCCTACTACCCCCTGGTCTATTCCCTTTTTCAAATCATGACTACTCTTCAACCAGCCACCTGCCCATGGCCACCTCACCTGTCTGTCCTCATGTGGTCCTTGGCTGTATCCTGGACCTGGTGCTGAGCAGGTCATGGAGGGGCTGGCACTCCCCTCATTTGCCTAGTTGGAGATGGGGAGTGGGTGACCTAACCTTTTTCTCTTCCTCCAGTTGGTGGCCATGTAGATTTTGACGACTTTGTGGAGCTAATGGGGCCTAAACTCCTGGCAGAGACAGCAGATATGATTGGAGTAAAGGAACTACGAGACGCTTTCCGAGAGGTGAGGGATGGGCAGTGACAGGCAGGGAGTGGGTGGATTATCAGACTCCCTTCTCCAGAACGGCCTCTTGGAAAGAAGCCTAGGCCCTAAGTCCCGGAGCAGGGAGGCAGCTTGGACAGAGGAGGGTCTCTGGGGGTAGGGGCACAGCGACTCTGGAGAAGGAGCCCAGCCTGGATTTGCTGTTGCCATGGATCAGTCTCCATATTGTACCACCCTCTCCCTCCTTCCTGCCCTCTCTAGTTTGACACCAATGGTGATGGGGAGATAAGCACCAGTGAGTTGCGAGAAGCCATGAGGAAGCTCCTGGGTCATCAAGTGGGACACCGAGACATAGAAGAAATTATCCGAGATGTGGATCTCAATGGGGATGGACGAGTAGACTTTGAAGGTAGGAGGGGCTTGAGAGTGGGAGAGAAGCAATCCAATAGTGACCATCCACAGGGTCCTCCAACTATGAGTCCTTCATGCAATCATTAGCCCAACCCAAATTTCCATTCTTCTATTCTTCCAATCTTCTGATCATCTAATCCCATCTGATCACATCCATCTATGCATGCATCCGGCCATCCCCATGTCCACCCACTCACGCGTCCATTCATGATAGCTATTTTCTGAAACCACATTCCTCAGCCTGACACACAGGCCCTGAACATGTGACCACAGCTTGTATCCCCAGCCACAGCATCTACCGTTCCACCACTCAGTCTCCACCAAGATAATTGCAGTCCATGAACCTGTTAGATGTTATTAAACATATTTATTTTATTGACTTGAGCAGAAAGAGTGCGGAATGGAGGGAGGGAGAGAGATAAAGAAAGGCAAACAGAGAGAATCCTCATCTACCTCTCTTCTCCCTATTCAAATGCCTACAACTGCTGGGGATGGATCAAGCCAAAGCTGGGACCTGGGAACTTGGTCTAGGTCTCCCACATGAGTGGCAGGAACCCAAGTACTTGGGCCATCACTCGCTACCTCCCAGGGTGTGCATTAGCAGGAAGCTCAAATCTGGGATGGAACCAGGACTTGAACCCAGGCGCTCCAATAGGGGGTGAGATACAAGTACCTTAGCCACTGGGCCAGAGGCCCATAGCTGCAAGCGTGCTTTTTTATTGTATTCTTCACTTGGGCTCAAGTCTTTTTCTTTTTTAAGGAAAAATGTGTTTTTAAAAAGTGTATTAGAAAGAGAACTCCCATCTAGTAGCTCACTCCCCAGATGCCCACAGTGTCTGCCAGCTTAGACCAAAGCCGGGAGCTGGGAACTCAGTTCAGGTCTTCCACAGGGACCCAACTACTTGAACCCTCACAGCTGCCTCTCAGGGTCAACATTAACGGGAAGCTGGAGTCAGGATCCTGAGCAGGGTGTTGAACCCAGGCACGGCAGTGTGGGACCTGGACGCCTTAGCACCAGGCTAAATGCCCGCCCCAAGATAAATTGTGTTCATCCTTCAAGACCCAGCACTGGGACCTCTTCTTCCAGCTTTGCTTTTCTGGTTCCTTAAACTGAACCTCCTTCTGGGGGTGGGGAGTGCTTTCACAGCAGCTCAGGTTCACCCCCACTCCTCACACTGGCCCCCAAGTGCTGGTTATCGTTTTCTCCCTGAAGGGAACCCCATTTTCCTTGTCTCTGCCTTTCCTAATACTAACTACCCGACACATAGTTAATGCCTAATGAAAGCTTTATGGTGGAACCAGTGATAATCACAATTGTTGCTGTTGCTTGTCTGCTTATGTACCGGTCAGTGTGCACCTCACCTATGTTATCTCATTCAATTCTCTCAGCCCCATGGATGGCACTATTAGTTCATACAGATGAGGGAACTGAGACTCAAGACTGCCTCTTAAGAGGCAGAGCTGGGGCCCAAACTGTTTAGGGCAGAATGGAGGACAGGCAAAAGTAAAATGTTGACCCCACACACCAGGAACTCACACTCTGAACTGAAAGACAAGAAAATGCGTGCCCACCTGTGAGTGGGTCTGGAACCCAAAGGTTGGGAGTTGGCCTCCACAGGATGGAGACTGGTGGATGGAGAGAATATCTGGATGTCTCAGGCGCCCTCTGTCCAGGTAGCACCACCATCTGGTGGCCCTTCCCTAAAAGCCCAGAATCCCCTGTGCATTCTACCAAGAAGTGTCCTACACCTGCAGTGTGTTGACACCTGACCTCTGCCTTGAGGTGCCCAGAAAACACTGCAGGCTGTGCTATGTTGTGAGGTGCAGTAGGGGGTACCTTTGCCAAGCTGAGGGGAGTGGTTCAGGCAGACTTCCTGGAGCAGGCTGGAAGGGGAGGCCTGAGCGGTAAATAGGAGTCAGCAGGTGAAACAGAAGGGAGCAGTGTTGACCTGGATGAGTTGAAAAAAACCTGGACACAGATTTTTTTTTACAATGTATTTATTTATTGCAAAGACAGAGTTACACAGATAGAAAGAGAGACAAAGAGAGATCTTCCATCTGCTCACTTACTCCCCAAATGGTCGCAACAGCTAGGGCTGGGCCAGGCCATAGCCAGGAGCCAAGAGTTTCTTCCAAGTCTTCCACATGGGTACAGGAGCCCAGGGAGGTAGGCCATCTTCTGCTGCTTTCCTAGGTGTATTAGCTGGGGGGAACTAGATCAGAAGTGGAGCAGCCAGGACTCAACCAGCCCCCATAAGGAATGCCAGCACTGCAGGCCATGGTTTAACCCATTGTGCCACAGCGCCAGCCCCTGGCCACAGATGTTTATAGCAGCTTTATTCTTACATCATTACCCAAACTTGACTCTACCATGGGGCCCTTCAATAGGTGAATGGATAAGTCCTCGGCAGTCTACCTACGGCCTAGGGCATTACTCAGCCCTAAACAGAGAGCAGCTTTGAAGCCGTGAAAAGGCAGGGAGGAACCTTGAATACACACCGCTAAGTGATTGTATTCCGAAAAGGCTCCATACTGTAGGGCTCCAGAGCTCTGACCTTCTGGGAAAGCAGAAGTGTGGAGACTCTGAGACTGTCACTGGTTTCCAGGGCCCAGGGCAGGTAAGGATGACTGGGGGGAGCACAGGATTTTTAGGGCAGTGAAACCGTCCCCTGGGACTCTCTCATGGTGGATAGATGTCAGGATGCACCTGTCCTGCGCTGTAGTCTATGCACCAAGAGTGAACACAACGTGAACTGGGGGCTGGGTGACAATGCTGTGTGTCCTGTAGCTTCGTCAGTTGTAGCGGAGGCACCGCTCTGGCAGAGGTTGTTGGTGGCGGAGGCTGTGCACGTGTTGAGAAAGCATATATGGGAAGAGTCTGCACCTTCTGCTCAGTTTTGCTGCGAACCTGGAACTGCTCTAGAAACATAAAGTCTAGGAAAGAAAAGGGAGGGGATTAGGTTGCAGGAGTGCTAAGTTTGGGGGAGGAGAGAGAAATAGAGCGAGCTGCACTTGAGGTGCTGAGAAGGAGATCCACGAGGTTGGAGCACAGAGATGGGGTGAGCTTGAAAGGTGTGGCTGATTTGTCAGTGGGGCCAGATCAGGGAGGGTCCTGGGGTCACATCAGGACTTGGGGTCACAACAGGGGGTTTAAGCAGGAGTCTGATTGGCTGGCTCCTGTGAGGATGGGTTGGGAGAGGGGCTTGGAGGCAGCATCCTGGGCTGGCCCCTGACTGCTGCTTTCTCCCCGCCCACTCCTGTCTCCTCCCAGAGTTTGTCCGGATGATGTCTCGCTGAGGCTGTGAGGGCCCCTCCAGGATTGCCAAGCTCCCACAGGTGGGGAGGAGAGGAGCCGGAGCACGCCTCACCCCACCGTAGCTGCCGAGAGCCCGGGATGAACTCGCGGACGGGGCCTGCCTGCACCCCGGGGAGGTGCCCACCCCAGACCCCCACCCCTCCGCACTGTGAAAGACTCACAACTCCTGCAACTGGAAAGGGGGGGCGCCCACCGAGGAGGAGGCCACAGTGCCAAGCCAGCAGAGTCGTGCCAGGCGCCAAGTGCCATGTGCCCGGCCGTGGCCGGCTGGGTGGGCCAGGGAGCCCGCCGCGCAGCAGGCCCCACACAGCATGTCTGCCTGGGCAGAGCCTCTGGCTGCCCTCCTCAGCTCTGTGCCCGTCCCAGCTCGCCTCAGAACTAATAAAGTATTTCCAAGAGAAAGACAGCTGGGGTGGTCTGTTTCTTGGGCCTGGTTAGGCTAGGCACACATGCCCTGAGCACCAGCTCCGTGCCCCAAAGCACCTGAACACGCCTGCATTCAGCTTGCATTCACGGACTGCTTGTTCGATACCCAGCGGCTTCCGGTCTCATGGCATCGGCTGGTACCTCCAACTGAAAGGGAGACGAAGAAAGTAGTTGTCTAGCCAAGGATGCGGCTGCCCCCCACGCAGTCGGGCTCTCTAAGAAGCGGACAGTGGCTGTGGGGTAAGTGTCCAGAGAGGTCTGCACCACTTCCTGCCCCCGGAAGTTTTTGTGCTGTCAGGGAGACAGACACATCTGTGTGTGTGACGACAAACTGTGACCCTGCTGTTAAAGAAACACAGGAACCTGCGGCAGGCATGACAGGGAGGCCCGGCCTATTCTGGGAGGCAGGGGGCAAGGAGGGCTCTCTTGAGGAAATGAGGAGGGTTTGGCCCTGGAGGAAATCCCAGTGTGTGAGAGGAGACAGGTGTAGAAACAGCTGCCATCCTCCCTCCCGTGGGGGAAGCAGGATGGAGGGGTTCAGTTAGGCCCCAGGCCCTAGTGTTTGACCTTGGGCCAGTCATGTTCTGTCTCTGAACCTCAGCTTTCTAACAGGTAGTATTGGGAGAGAAGGAATGATGGGATCAGTGCTCTCCGTGTTGATAACGGAGCTGTCAGTCACAGACTGCAGTGGAATTGTGCAGTGGAGCGACATGGAGCAGCTTCATTATTGCTGCAATTGATTCCTGTTAGAGAAGGGTTGCGGGAACACAGAGGAGAGGTTGTGGGGCATAGCTGAGCAGGCGCGCAGGGTGGCCCACGTACTCCAAGCCACCAGTGCTCTCCTTTAGAGCAGGTAAGAATCCCCTGGGTAATTTGTGAAGCCACACACCCCAGCGGTTCTGATTCTGCATTTAGGATGGGGTCTGCACATTTGCATCTTTCTCAGCCCAGAGAATGCTGTTCTGCCGGCGTGGGCCGCTGTCTGAATCACCCCAGGCTCCTGGGAGGCAGGTGTGCTTCAGGCATGGGGAGAGGCTGTGGCACTAAAGACTGGATGGGGCTGGGAGGGGAGGTGGAGCATGCCCTGCCCCCTCTGCTGTGACGGGGGAGGATCCTTATTCTCAGGCCAGGCAGAGAGTGTGGGCCGCAGCCAGAAGCCAGGGTAATCCCCATGTCTCTGAGGCCAGCGAGGCTGGGAGCTCCAGATTCACTCTAATAATCCAATTCTGAGACTAAGCCCTTGGCTCTGTGCCCTGCTGGGCAGGCCTGCAGACCTGTCTGCCCCCATGCCAGCTTAGTTCTGCCCGGATAGCCCACATCCACGCCGCTTCAGGGATGTGATGGCCTAGGAGGACAGATTGCAGAGAGAGGGCCCCCGTGGACATCCCCGTCAGCTAGCAGGGGAGGCCTGGGGGCACCACAGGGAGAGGGGAGAGGACGAGGAGACAAGGACACCTCTGTCTCTGGTGTGTGGCCTCCTAAAGTCACAGACACAGCAGAACCTTAATGCTCAGGGCACAGGGCAGCCCAAAGGCTGGGCCTCTGCCTCCTTGGACACCAAAACTGGAATGTCTCCTCTTGAACTTGACTTGTGTTCCGAGGTTTCCTAGTACTTACTTGAAGGAAAAGTTCTACGACTTTTCAAGAACTGCGGTGCTCTTTCCTAAGAGGGAATTCTTTCTGCCGCCTGCACTGCTGCCCTAGGACAGGTGTCTGGCCTCGCGGTAGCAATACCTTTTGCCAAGATGCCTGCATCCTGCATCGCAGTATCCGGGTTTGATACCTGCCTGTGGCTTCCTGCCAATGTGCATCCTGGGAGGCAGTAATGGCTGAAGCACTTGGGTTCCTGCCACCCATGTAGGAAACCTGGATTGAGTTCCGAGCTCCCAGCCGTGGCCCCAGCCAGGGGCCACTGTGGGCACATGAGGAGTGAACAAATGGATGGGAGCTTGCTCGCTCTCTTGCTCTCCCCGGCTCATCAATTAATTAATTAAAAATAGTAATACTGGTGGAGCTGCATGTGTGTCATCTTCGGAGAGCTCTCATTGCCTGTAAGGCCTTAAACGGAACCCGCGTTTGCCTCTCCGGGACTGACTGAGTCTGATTTGTGCATTCACTCATGCACACACTCAGCTGTTATTTACTGAGCTCCTCCTGTGTGCCAGGCCCTGTGCCAGCGTCCCTATCCTCACTGAGCTCAGATCCTAGGAGGGGAACTAGATCAGAGAACAGTCGGTGTAAGGGAGGGGCTGACCGGGTGAGCCTGGGCACGGTTAGGGTACCTGAGGAAGGGGTAGATGTGCTAGTTCCTGAAGGATGAGCAGTGCCCGGTAAGAGATGAGGGCAGGGAGCGTTTCTGCTGGAGGGAACAGCAAGTGCAAAGGCCCGGAAGTAAGGGGGAGCACCTTTGGGTGCTGATTAGAGGGAGGAGCACAGAGAAGTAACTCATAGGGAGGCAGAGCCTGACCCCACGACAGACCTTGGCATGTGGAGAGGGTCAGGTGGGACCTCTTAGGAGCTGCCACCTTAGGTGAGCCGGGCCCTGGGGCACAGAAACCCTGGTGCCTATGGCGGACTCGCCTTGGTGACAGATCTATCCAGGAGGTAGAATAGGACAGGATGGCCGAGGGCAGCCAGGAAAGCATCCCTCAAGAACATGAGCTCGGATCATAAAACCAAAAACTAGACGTCCAGTGTCCCTGGGGGAGGAATGGGCTGCCACTAGGGTCTTGCCATAGGATCACATTTGAGTCTGATCGCACCTGGAGCCCCAGCAGGTGGTTTGCTGGAAATTCTAGGGCAGAGGAGTGTGTTGAGCTTAGCAAATGCATGTTATCAGCACAGTCCAGGCTGGGCGATGCTGCAGGCCACAGCTCCCTAAACGCCTGCAACAGCCAGGGCTGAGTCAGGCCAAAGCCAGGAACTCCATACGGATCTCCCGTATAAGTGCTGGGGCCCACGTAACTGGGCCATCTTCCACTGCTTTCCCAGGCATATTAACAGGAAGCTGGATCAGAAGTGGAGCAGCCAGGATTGGAACTGGCACTCCAATATGAACCTGCTGCACCACGATGCCAGCTCCTAAACAACAAAAACTTTTTTTTAAATTATTTATTTATTTGAAAGACGAAGTTATAGACAGGGAGAGGCATAGGCAGAGAGAGAGAAGTCTTCCATTCGCTGGTTCACCCCACAAATGGCTGCAACAGCCAGGGCTGGGCCAGACTGAAGCGAGGAGCCAGGAGCTTCCTCTGGGTCTCCCACGTGGGTGCAGGGACCCAAGCACTTGGGCCATCTTCCACTGCTGTCTCTGGTGCAGTAGCAGGGAGTTGGATGGCAACAAAAACATTTTTAAAATTTATTAGAGAAACAGCTCCTATCCACTGGTTTACTCCCTGCAAATGCCTGCAACAGCCAGAGCTGGGCCTGGCTGGGAGCTGGGAATTCAGTATGGGTGGGAGGGACCTGAGCCATCACCTGAGCCGTCACCTGCTGCCTCTGAGGGCATGCATTAGCAGGAAGCTGGAGTCAGGAGTGAAACTGGGCCTGGATTTGGGATGCAGATGTCCTCACGGAGTCTTAGCTGCTGCACCAAATACCCGTCCCTAAAAGCTCTTCATCCATCCTCCCACTCCATCTTTGCAACCTCCTCCTTTTCCTGATGTGAAAACTCAGATTCGGTAATGGGATATGACTTACCAAACTTAATGGTAGAGACCGAGGCGCTCCCTGTGTTCCTACGTCCAGCAAACCGACCTTAACACAGGGAAAAGAGTCTGAGAGATGATGGTAAAAAAAAAAAAAAAAAAAAAAAAAGAATGAATGTGTATGGGAGGCTTAGGGTGCCTTGTCAGTCACTCTCCCGAAGTTGCTTTACACGTCCTCATTCCCAGCCCCAGGAGACAAAGGGTCCCCATCCCCTCGTTCACAGGTGAAGAGTCTGAGGGCTAGAAGGGAAGTGACCCAGCCTGGACATCTGGCACAGTGCTTAAGATGCAGCCCGGGACACTCACGTCCCACACCCTCGAGCCCGGGTTCCAGTCCCGGCTCTGCTCTCCATGCCAGCCTCCTGCTAATGCTCACCCGCGAGGCAACAGTGATGGCTCAAGCAGTTGGGCCCCAGCTCCTGGCTTCCACCTGGCCCAGCCCTGGCTGCTGTGGGCATCTGGGGAGTGAACCAGCAGATGGGAGATCTATCTCTGTCTTCCTGTCTTTCCAATAAACAAAAGTAAGTTAAAATTTAAAAACAAAACAAAACAAAAAGACAACAAGGGAAGTGACCTGCCCAGAGCACCTTGTTGGGAAGGCGCTGGCTTTTTCTGTCTCCCTCTCGCCCTGGCTGGCTTCTGCGCTGTGACTCACATCCTCCTGGGGAAGCAAAGACTCGCCAAGTCCATTCTCCCTCCCATGGAGCTGGAGACCTGGCCGGGTTTCTGGGGTCTCGTTGCTCGCTGGAGACCAGCACTGTGAGACTCTGTTCGCTGGCTCCCTGCCTCTCGGGGTGACCCTGGTCCCCTGGGGTCTAAGGAGCAGAGACTCCAGGCCAAGGAATCTTGGCACAGTGCGCAGCCCACCCACCTCAGGGTCCTGGGGCAGCGAGGCTGGCCAAGGAGAAGGCCACGCTGGCCCCCACCCCTTCTCTGTGTTTACCTTTTGAACTTGTATTGTGAGCTTATCCCAAAGGGGGGATGGAAATAACTCATAAACTTAAAATAGGTAAGACTTAATTAATAGCCAGCTTTGTTCTTCTGATCCTTATCTGTACAGGAAGACACACCTCTTTTCAGTTTGGTGGGTCAAGGTGAAGTGCCTCTGGGGGCCCATAGGCGGCTGCCGCATCTTCCGATTTTGAACTCTGGTCCCCGTCAACTGTTCCCCGCCCCCGGTGGAAGGGTTTTTCCCCACTCCTCACCCTAAGCCCGTTACCAGGCCTTGTCTAGTAGTCAGGTTGCCAGCATTACGTGTCAGGCCATGACTCCTTAGAACGCTTTCTTCTTGGGTGACTCAGCGGCTGTGCACTGAGGACTTCCTCCGGTCCAGGCGCTCTAATTAGATGCATCTCACAGATGAGGAAGCTGGGGACCCAGGGTGGAAATGTGACTTTCCAAAGGCCACATGGCTCAAAGAAGTCCTTATGCCCTCCAAATACCGCTGATGATGATTTAGTGAGCAAATCGCTGTGTGCTCAATGGTCCCGCAATGCTAGTTAAAAAAAAGAAAAATCCATTTTTAAATTTTCCTTCTTTGAAAGATCTCTTTTTGGGGGTGGGAATTTGACGCAGTGTGAAGAGGTCTCTTGGGACACCCCCATCCTACATAGGAGTGGCTGGGTTCAGATGGTGGCTCCACTCCCAATTCCAGCTTCCCACTAAGGCGCACCCTGGGGGGCAGCAGTGACGGCTCAAGTAGTTGGGTCCCTGCCACCCAGGTGACAGCTGTAGATTGAGTTCTGGGCTCCTGATTTCAGCCTGGCCCAGCCCCAGCTGTTGTGGGCGTTTGGGGAGTGAACCAAATCTTTCTCTCTCTCCTCTCTGTCTCTGTCTCTGTCTCCCTGTTTCTCTGCCTTTCAAATAAATTGGGGAAACATTTTTTTAAATGCCTTTTTATTTCTTGCAATCTAGAAGAATAAACAAGTATTCTATGTCAGAGAAGGAAGCGGAGGCTCAGAGAGCTGACTCCACTCAGCCAGTGTCTCACAACGATCAACAGTGGAGCTGTAAATCACACCAAGCTGTATCTGATGGGTAGCCAGGCTCAGAAAAAACTGGACTTTGGCTCCTAATTGGGTGATTCTGGAAAATCACTGCTCTGTCTGAGACTGGATTTCTATTCCTGGTCTCTGGTTTGGATGGAATTAGGACAGATCTCATCTTTTTAAAATTCTCTTCTTGGGGCAGGCATTGTGGTACAGTGGACTCAGCTGCTGCTTAACCCAGCAATCCATATAGGAGCACCAGTAGGAATCCTGGCTGCTCTGTTTCCAACCCAGCTCCCTGCTAATGCACCTGGAAAGCAGCAGAAGATGGCCCAAGTGCTAGAGCCCCTGCTACCCATGTGAGAGGCCCGGATGGAGTTTCTGGCTCCTGGCTTTGCTCTGGCCCAGTCCTGCCTGTTGCAGCCACTTGGGGAATGAACCAGCAGATGGAAATTCTCTTTCTGCCTTTCAAATAGATAAATAAATCTGCTTTTAAAAAAAAATCAAGTTAAAAATTTTTCTTCCATGTCATCTGCATTTTCTACAAAAAGTGTATCTCCTGGCCAGCACTCTGGTATAGCAAGTTAAGCTGCTGTCTGTAGTGCTGGCATCCTATATAAGCACCGGTTCACGTCCTGGCTGCTCCACTTCCAACCCATCTCCCTGCTAATGTGCCTGGGAAAGCAGTGGAAGATGGCCCAAGTGCTTGGGCCCCTGCACCCACGTAGGAGACCCAGATGAAGCTTCTGGCTCCTTGCTTGGGCTTGGCCCTGCCCTGGTGGTTGCAGCCCTTTGGGGAGTGAGTCAGTGGATGGAAGACCTGCCTCTCTCTTTCTCCCTCTCTCTGTAACTCTGTCTTTCAAATAAATAAAGATAAAATCTAAAAATAGTGCTTCTTCCTTCCAGAATTAGAAAAAAATAACTGCTGTCCATTTAAAAGCCATCTCATTTAGTCCTTACAGAACCATGCCAGGAGATTCTCATTTGCACTTTGGGAGAGAGGAGGTGACCCGTCTGGGAAGCCACTGAGAATGGAACTGAATGAATCCAGTTCTATCTGACCCCCAAATCACAGTCCTGGAGGGCAGGTCCCCCATCTGAGAGAGTTCTGGAGGGTTCTAGGAAAACCAGCCTTGGCTGCAGGAGCTGGGAGTGCAGCCACTCGGTGTCCTTGGCTCTCAGATTGGGATGACCTTCCTGAGCAGGCAGGAGCCCAAGGCTGTCAGAGGAATGGCTGGGCTCACGGCCACCTGGGGACCGACACCCTTCTCAGCTTTCTCAGGGCCCGGACTGCCTGCCTTCTAGAGGGCTGGCCCCCGGGAAGCAGGCCTCGGGCACTTGGGAACCCCTGCAGGGCAGTGGCAGCACACTGGGTGTAATCCTGCCCAGGCCCAGGCCCTGGTCTGGTTTGGCAGGGGAGACCCTCACCCTTCTATATCCTGCCCTCCTGGGTCCGCTCTTGATAAACCTGCAGCTGCTGGAAATCCGACTCCCTCAGCCCAGTCCTCGCGACGCTGCCCCTGAGCCAGGCTCTCTCAGGTGAGGCCCTATTTTCAGGCACCAATCTCTGCTCACAGGAGCAGCCCCTGCATTCAAAAACTGCCAAACGTGGCATAGCGGGTAAAGCCGCCACCTGCGACGCTGGCATCCCATATGGGCGCAGGTTTGAGTCCCTGCTGCTCCATTTCCAATCCAGCTCTCTACTGATGGCCTGGGGAAAGCAGAGGAAGATGGCCCAAGTGCTTGGGGCCTGCTACCTACATGGAAGACCCGGAAGAAGCTTCTGGCTCCTGGCTTTGGCCTGGAGCTGTTGCAATCATCTGGATAGTGAACCAGTGGATCAAGATCTTTCTTTCTCTCTGTAAATCTTTTAAATAAATAAATACATCTTTTAAAAAATAAGAAAAGCTGCCAGCCCCTGGCCCTGGGGCCTTTGAATTCTTCAGTTATGAAGTAGGGATAACGAGTTAATGCGTCTCATGTGGTGTTAAGATTCTCACGTGGCCAGGACACAGGAAGGGCTGAGTGAATCAAGGGACTCAAGATTTCTTTTCTTTCCTAAAGATGTATTTATTTGAAAGGCAAAGTGACAGAAAGAAAAAGAGACATCTGCCAACCACCGGTTCACTCCCCAAATGACTGCAACAGCCAGGGCTGGGCCAGGCCCAAGCCAGGAACCAGGAACACCATCTGGGTCTTCCACGTGGATGGCAGGGACCAAGCACTTGAGCCATCATCTGCTGCCTTCCCAGGTGCATTAGCAGGGAACTGGATCAGAGGCAGCGCTCAAACCAGCATTCAGATACGGGACACCAGTGCTGTCAGGGCGAGCAGCGGCTTAACCTGCCGGGCCACGGTGCTGGCCCCAAATGACTAATACTTGCGTCAGGAAGTCCCCTGTTCAATGCTACTGCATGATTCACCAGCCCCCATGGCAACTGGCTATTTTCTGGGTCCACCTGCCGAAAGGGGTTTGACAAGGCCGGAACCTCCACAGTTGACTTGTCGAGAGCTCCATGGGCCGTGCATTCCTGAAAGCAAATGAGCCACTTCAAAAAACTCATGAAAAAATGGAATGTACAGATCAGTTTATTCTGGCACAAAAAATGTTTGAAATCCATGTATATGAGAGGTCCTCAAAAAGTACATATGATGAAAAAGCTATGCATGGATTTCAGTGTTTCAGAACCACAAATAAACTTATCTTTTTTTTTTTTTTTTTTGAAAGACAGAGTTACAGAGAGACATAGAGACATAGAGCCAGAGAGAGACAGAGGTCTTCCATCTGCTGATTCATTCCCCAAAATGACCACAACGGCCAGAGCTGAGCTGATCCTTGGCCAGGAGCCAGGAGCTTCTTCCAGGTCTCCCATGTGGGTGCAGGGGCCCAAGGACTTGGGCCATCTTCTACTGCTTTCCCAGGCCATAGCAGAGAGCTGGATCGGAAGAGGAGTAGCCAGCACTTGAACTGGCTCCCATATAGGATTGCTGGCGCTGCAGGCTGGGGATTTAACCCACAGCACCACAGCGCTGGCCCCAACTTAGCTTTTATTTATTTATTTATTTATTTGACAGGTAGAGTTATAGACAGTGAGAGAGAGACAGAGAGAAAGGTCTTCCTTTCGTTGGTTCACTCCCCAAATGGCCGCCACAGCCGGTGCTGCGCCGATCCTCCAAAGCCAGGAGCCAGGTGCTTCCTCCTGGTCTCCCATGCAGGTGCAGGGCCCAAGCACCTGGGCCATCCTCCACTGCCCTCCCGGGCCATAGCAGAGAGCTAGACTGGAAGAGGAGCAACCAGGACTAGAACTGGCGCCCATATGCGATGCCGGCAATGCAGGCAGAGGATTAACCAAATGAGTCACAGCGCCGGCCCCCAACTTAGCTTTCAATTCCAGTTTTCCGTGAACTTGTGGAAGCGCCCTTGTAGGTCTCAGCTGCTTACAGGACCAGGCTGGTCTAAGTTGCTGAAAGCAGAACTCGAGAGGAGCTTCTTGCTTCAGGGTAACCATTGGCTGAGCATTTTGTTTGTGTCAAGCGCTAGTCTGTCAAAAATAAAGCCAGATGGAGCTACAGTTTTAAGAGTTGATCATGCACACTAAAGAACAGCCCATGAACTGGAAGACGGCAAACCAAAGGTGGCAGGAAGTCGCCATTTATAGCAGGGATAGCGCGGTTTATAGTGCATCCAAGAGGAAACAGTTTGACCTTTTTTTTCGGACGGGTTGTCCTATATTCTTTCAAAGGCAGAGCTGTGTAAGCTGAACTGCCTACAGCCGATTGGTTTAGTCCCACTGGATCACGTGGATAAGGACAAAAAACTTGCCTGTGTGTGGTTTATGTCTGCAGGTCACATTTTGGGGGCGCTCAGGATGACTTACATTTTGGTTATGGATATACGTCCTGGGGTATCTAAACGGTAACCTCCCTATTTACCTATTCACATTAGAAGCTGAGTGACTTTATTATGTGCACTGCGACCTTCTCCTCCTTCCTCCTCTGGTTGAATTATCCTCTTTAATCTTTAGAGCTGCCCTTTGACATAGAAACTGTGATTATCTCTATTTCACAACTGAGGAAGCTGGAACCCAGAAAAGCACAGTGTCTCTTGATATCACCCAGGGTTAGTTCTAGGACCTCCTCCTTCTGCCCACCAAATCCGAGGATACTCAAGTCCCTTAAATCAACAGTATATTTGCATATTACCCAAAACATCCTCTGTATACTTGAAATCATCTCTAGATAACCTATAATACATAAAACAATAACACAAGTCGTTACCCTGCATTGCTAAGGGAATAAAGACGAGGAAGAAAAGGCTGGACATGTTCAGTACAGTTTGTTATTTTGGAATAATTTTGATCCATGTTTGGTAGAATCCACTGATGCAGAACCCATGTGCAGTGAGTGACAGTTGACTGTGTCTCTTGGCCAAGGCCACACGGTCGGCCAGCCATGGAACTGGGCACGGAACCCAGTCTCCAGGGCCT